ACTGATTTTGCAATCTGGATGGCTAAGACCTGAGCCAGTGCCCTCATGTAACGGCAGTGCGGAGCCAGATGTGCCCTGAACAACCTGCAGAGCCTTGACGGGTTGGTAGATGCTGTCTAAATCCAACATGAAGTTAAAGCAAAGCATAATGAGATCCTGCCAGTGAAGCACTCAACAAACCAAACAGCTCCAAATAACCGTGTTTCATAGGTAAAAATAGCATGTGCATATTCAATGGGTCTTGACAAGACACATAAAACTTTCACTGGTAAACTGAAAACATAACCCAGGCATTAAAATTCCAATAACTGGGCATTTTTATATTTACATATTTCAGCTGTTCAACTCATCACTTTATACATAGATGTGACTACTCCAACGTTTTCTTACATCAGTAACAATAACAAGATGTATCTCGTATCAGTATGTCTTCTGTATAAGAGCGCATCTTCTTCCACTCTGACCTGTAGCTTTTCTTCAAATACAGTGATATAAAGTGGATATAAGGTACCCCTCAGTGCAGTTTAAGCAGTGATTCTAATTTCCTCTCAGGTTACACACAGAGTCCTGTTAGCTAAAGCCTGTAGTAAGCTTTCCTGCTGGTTAGCTAACTGTTTCACATGATTTCACTCGACTGGGAGCAGTGCAGCACTGCTGCACCCAACACCTTCCCTGGCCGCTCGGGGAGCTGCAGGGAACTTCTCCCTTCTGTATGTTCATGCAGCTCCTCAATGCTGAACTTACTCTTCAGTCTTCACACACCAAAACTGCTCAACCATTGCTTTTTTTGTTTTTAACTAAGTGTTTTTGATTCTTCTAGTTGCCATGGTAAGGGCACCAGAGAGAGATGAAGGCCTGGAGGACTTGTATACCATAGCTGAAAGAAGTGTTTTGATGATACAGCTAATAAATGTTTCCTCTTTGAAAAAGGCAGTTAGTCTGTATAACAAACAGTATGACTGTTCAGCATATAAAAAGACAAAACTGGTTTTAATTTCAGAATTAAACTGGAAAATCTAACCCTCACCCTAATCTTTTCAAATTATATGCCAAGTTCCTCAGATCCAACATAAAGCAATAACACGAGTCTTTTAACAATAAAAACACAGTACCCAAACCTTCTGAGCTTGCAGATGTTACTGAACTAAACTTATATGGCATTATCTTAAAGATTGGCCAGCAGTAGCTCTGGATACTATCAGGCTGCTCACATCCAGCTGATCCTAATTTCCTTCCACCTTTCTAACACACACAGAACAACAAACAACAGGTCCTATCAGATTCTCCAGGCCATCAGATGCTCACAGGTTACACACAGTATTAAGCAAACAAGTCTGAGAATTCACTGATAATGTCAGGACATTCTTTGTGAGCAGAGGTCATAAAACTCCTATAATTTGCTTAAGACTTATTACAAACAGACTCTAAGACATTAGCAAACACCAGAGATAATAAGAATAGCGTTTCAGCAGCTTTTAAATGATTTAATTTAGGAAAGGGAAATTGCACATCATAGAGGAGTAGTCAGACTGCACATCAATATGTGCATCAAACAGCACATCAGAGAGATGCAGCAGTTTGATGTCTGAAGATGTCTGGCCAGGGCTGTGGCCCTTACAATAACATGCACTGCACAAAGCATACCATGGTTCCTGAAATACATTCTCTAATTTATTTTCTTGCTAAAGGTTTTAATTTTCCTACTTGAAAGGAAAAGTCTTGTTAATGAAATAGATGGAATCAGTACCTAAGCTTCCTAGTATATGACAGAAATTAACCCTTTAGTTTTACACCATAAACTCAGAGAAAGGGCATGTTCAAACAAGCCCACCTCAAGTCCATGCTACATTTCTTAAAAATGCACAAGCATGCAAGGATAATACCTACATCTCATATTTACTAATACCTGCCAGAAGATGAGTCAATGACTATTTCTGTGATCTGAAGGCATATATTAAGACTGGGTAAAGATATGAATGCGTATATCTAAGAGTGAGTGACTGAACAAGCTCTTCTTTAAAACATGTCTGATACCCTCTTGTCCTCTCCTTCCAAGCATCTTCCAACTATTTCCTTCTTGCCAACTGGAATAAACCAGAGAAGCAAGAAAGCTCTATGCAAACTGCTAATGCAGTGTAATTCTGCAGCTATAGAACAAAAAGAACAAAACCACTATGTGCAATACCCATTAATTCAATCCTGAAGCTGTGTTACAAAGACTGGTAACAGGAAAAATAGCTTTTGGCCTTTTTATGACAAATATACTCAAGAGGAGACAAGGTACATGTTTTCTATCCTGACTCTCATGAACACTGGAACCTGGAAGAAATAATGCAGTTTCTATTCCCAAATCCAAAAATGAAATTTGCTTGATAGATATAGAGTCACTGTGTTAAAAATTCTTATATTTCCTCACACAAGAAGCCACAGCAGGGTTCCTCTAAACTTTCTATATCTAGAAAAGAGACTCTAAAAGGAGATACTTGAGTAAAAATGGTAGTTCAGACACCTCCTCTTTGTGCCTGATCACACACTCAGCTCCCACGCTCCCATTTCTCCCTGGCAGATGCCAAGAGCTGAGCAGGCCCCTGGCTTGTTTGGACAACTGCTCCCTCGCACAACAAAAACTTGTAACTTATTGGCAGCTCCAAACAGTCACTTTCCGAAAAGCGCTGGGCTCAGCTTCTCTTGCAGCAGGACACTAACAGCAGCCCGGCAGCATTTCGTCCCCCAGCCTCTGGTTAAAACACCTACCTAGACTCAAGGGTTGCCCCTCTTCATCGCCCTCCCTAAAATCTGCATGCTGATTCTGCATCCATTAAAAAAATACCCACAGAGACTGCGGCAAAGGGACATCTATTACATTTGGCAGACTTGGCAAAAGGTCCTCCAAAATGCTGGAGTAGATATGCTCATCGAATTCAATACTGCAATCAAAAGGACCAAAACCTAACACACATACAAACCCAGACAAGATCAACCTTATCTTTATCAGGCTAAAGATCTAGTCTTTACTGTGAGTTCTGGCTACTCACAATGTGAATATTTTAACAGGAAGAAGCATGCTCCGATCGCATTTTACAGTCGAGTGTTAACATAAAATTATCACGATTGAAAAGTTATGCAAGACTTCCTTAGAGTATTTCCTTTATAAAAGGACCTGGCTGCAAACCCAAGCTTGCACAAATAGGCTTGAAAGTAATAAATTCCTTAGTCAACAGGTTCACATTATACTCAGAGCACCACACAGATCCAAGAGGCACTCCAGGACAACACTTTAGCAAACAATCCTGTTATTCATGGATGAGTATAATGGGGTGATTACTAACAGCTGTTTGCAATCTCATTACATAGAATCGTAGAATCATAGAATAGTTAGGGTTGGAAGGGACCTTAAGATCATCCAGTTCCAACCCCCCTGCCATGGGCAGGGACACCTCACACTAAACCATATCACCCAAGGCCTCATCCAACATGGCCTTGAACACCGCCAGGGATGGAGCATTCACAACCTCCCTGGGCAACCCATTCCAGTGCCTCACCACCCTAACAGGAAACAATTTCTTCCTTATACCCAATCTAAACTTCCCCTGTTTAAGTTTTAACCTATTACCTCTTGTCCTGTCACTACAGTCCCTAATGAAGAGTCCCTCCCCAGCATCCTTATAGCCCCCTTTCAGATACTGGAAGGCTGCTATGAGGTCTCCACGCAGCCTTCTCTTCTCCAGCCTGGACAGCCCCAACTTTCTCAGCCTGTCTTCATACAGGAGGTGCTCCAGTCCCCTGATCATCCTTGTGGCCCTCCTCTGGACTTGTTCCAACAGCTCCATGTCCTTTTTATGTTGAGGACACCAGAACTGCACACAATACTCCAAGTGAGGTCTCACAAGAGCAGAGTAGAGGGGCAGGATCACCTCCTTCGACCTGCTGGTCACGCTCCGTTTGATACAGCCCAGGATATGGTTGGCTTCTGGGCTGTGAGCGCACACTGAAGCTGGCTCATGTTCATTTTCTCATCAACCAACACCCCCAAGTCTTTCTCTGCAGGGCTGCTCTGAATCTCTTCTCTGCCCAACCTGTAGCTGTGCCTGGGATTGCTCCGACCCAGGTGTAGGACCTTGCACTTGGCATGGTTAAACTTCATAAGGTTGGCATCAGCCCACCTCACAAGCATGTCAAGGTCAGAGGAAGCACCCCAACTTACAGTGGAACCGAAGGGAGAAGGATCTGTAAAGCTGCTTAACCCCTTCCCAGTCGCGTTACCCTCACTACTCACATCATACCCCAATACCACCAAAGGCTCACTCTCACACAGACCTTACTCTCTATGGCTTCAAAATACTCAAGGTAACAATATTACTTTTGAATGTATTCATCAGGTTAAAATAAAAGCATACATTAAAATAAAAATTTCAGCTAATATGAGTGTGTTTCAATAGATTTAATAGTGTTTTATGTAGCCTACACAAGTACTGAACTTACACAACCAGAAGATGAGCACCAATATGGCCAAGTACGGGTATGATCACCCCATGGACATGAAAAGAACATACAGTCTAGCTTTTAAACAAACTTAACCCAATTATGAATGTTAATTAAACCACTCCTGATGCAAATGATAGGTTAATATTCAAACCCAGAAAGCAGAACACCATGTAATGCCCTAATTTGTTCCTATTTGACCAGTGACTCCTTCACTCTCTTCCCTGCCCCTAAGTTTTCATTAAGCCCCCTGCAGCCAGCCAGATCTTTTTATAATACTGCAATGAAGCATGAGAGAATCAGGAGAAAAACAACACAATAAAGGCTGCTTGTTCACAGACAAAACACTGTGCAAACAAGATGCTGGATAATCTGTTTAGTGACTCTTCTTAAAAGATAGTCCAGAGATATTCTAGCTAGCTGTGACATCGGTTTCTCTTTTTTAAGTCTCAAAAAGTTAATCAGGAACCTCAGAAAGTAACACTCTTTTATTCTCATTCCCCCTCAATCCCACTCACAGGGCTCTGCAGTATCTGAGTGACTCTCTTCCTTTGCTCCATCATATTGAAGTCCTGCCTCAGGTCAGGAGACATGTTTCTCTCCCTGATATACTCTGGGTCATTCTCGTTGATGCGATCAAAGTACCGCTCCTTGTGAGGCATCGTGGCTGAGGGAGGAGTAGTGATCACCACCTGGCTGGCATCAGTACTCATGCTTCAACGCTGCAGGTGGTAGACCTCACCTGAAACAAATAACACAGGGGGAAGAATGATTAACAATTAGAAGAAGGGCATTGAATATGACTTCCAAGTCTGGACACAAATGGTGCTGTTACTCATCTCTGCAGAACAACATCTAAAATGAAAGGGGAACAAATGAATTATTATCACAATCAGAAAGCTGAGGAAAAATTCTAGAACACTGTTTAAAAACCATAGTTTTATGATAGTGCATAACCAGCTCTACTCAAGTTAAAATAAATCCCCAACGGCATACAATTATGACATTCAAAATGACCATAATATATTTTATGATAAACTTTCCTGAACCATTTTACATTGCACTCATCACCCCCCAAAGTTTTTACATAGCTTTCCTTCCTGACATGTTCAACCAAACATGGTCAGAAGACGAGGCCTCTGTTTAACATCCACTCAGAGTTCATCTTCAAGCTCAAATGAAGACATTCCTCAATCAGAGCATTTCCGCAGCATCTCATAACCCCAGCTTAAAGACAAGACATGAGGATGCTTAAAGACTGCCAGGGGATCTCTGCAGAGCCCTGGCTGATGCCTGCACTTTCAGAAGACACTTGGAGACACTGATGGAACTGCAGAAGAGGACGTAGGCTGGGTTGCACAGGACTGAGGCTGCAGGAGATTTAGCTTTTCTCCTCTTACGTGCAGTTGTATGCAAAGATTCTCACTGAATCTCATTACATTAGGAAAAGGAAAACCCCAAACAACCAACAACTTTCATGTCTTGGTAGAAAGCTATGCTTAAAATCTCATTAAAAAACCTGATAAGCATTTGTAAACACAAACAGAACTGGATCAAAAGCAAAAAAGCAGACACCTGAATTTTCATACAAAGAATGAGGCTCAGAAGCACACTCAAGAGTACCATTCCTCAAACAGGTCCTGAAGAGGGATGTTTTCTCAGGTTTGAGGAACAAAGAGAAGTAAGATTTGTAGGAAGAGATAGTGTATTATGAAAATGCACCTTAACATGCAAATATCTGCATTCAATAATAAATTTAATATAAAAATATTTGCATGCAAATGTATTTGGTATGTAAATAATTCACATCTTCAGAGGAAAAACAGCCAAACCTGAAGGAATGAGAGTTGTCAAGCAGTATTAAGCAGCGTGGTTTAACATTATGGTATCAGTGGTTTAAAGTGTCCTTGTGCTCTATGGTACAGTTCACCCATCCCTCATTTGGGTCAGTGGAACTACTACTCGGGGTATTCTGTGAACAGTGAGTGATCTGACATGGAGCACCCAAACTCCTCAAACTATTACCTTGTATATTTCCCAGATGAAACATCTGGAAGCCCTCTTAAAACCAGATTAGCAGCACAAGCCCTCCTTCTGCTGCAACAAACCCTTTTGGTCCTTGTGCTGAACCCTCTGCTGTGCAGTCACGCCATGAACCAGGCTGGCAGGAAGATCCAAATTGTTCTGCAGCCAGTTTCCCACATTGACACCCAAATGGCTTTGCTGGCATGCTGCAGGTTCAGCACAAGAATGAAATCCTGGGACACTGCAGCCCTGCCACCAAATCTGAAGCTCCAGACAGAAAACGAGACAGATACCACCTACAAAGCTGGGACAGCATTAGCAGATAAGATACAGAAAAAGCATGTCTATGATTTTCTTGTATATTACAGATTATGATACAGTTTGGGATTGAGATGAAATACAACTAACACCCTCCTAAAAGAAAATGCTCCATGAACTCCAACGCTTCTTTACAGAGGCTGTGGAATCATACCAATGAGTTCTGCATTTGCTGCTTGGGTGCAGTATGATTTCATTCTGTATTTGCTGACTGACCATCAAGAATCCTGCTATGTGTGCTCAACTTGGGGATGCTGGGGAGAAGACAAGGGATTTGCTGCAAGTAAATGAGGGTTTGGGAAAAATCCAGAAGCATGAAAACAGCTTATTTTTTTTTCTAAAGAATGAACTATTGTGTTTTTCCAGCTGGGAGCATTGAAGCGGAACGATAAGCGTCTTGGGACAGCATTTGGGGATATGATCACAGCCTGGCTTCCCTCTGTTCAGGTTAGAACAGATACCCTTATAAATGCAACCATGTATTATGTCTCCCTTTCCCCCACAAAAAGAAAGGAGAAAGGTGGGGTTTAATTAGGAGAAGAAAACAGTGTCATAACAAGACACAAAACAATGAGCTCACTCTTCAAATGCCACAAGGTATGAAGAGCTTGCGACCTCTCAAGCCTACACTGTTCTCCATCTGTGTCAGGGTAAATACCTCCATCCAAGCCAGAACAGCCACCTCCCAGCACCTGCTGGGAGCTGAAAGCACTCTAGAAATACAGATGGCAAGATCCTTGCTCGAATCGGCAACCAGCTGTGACTTCTGCTCTTCTGTTACTTCCTCCCAGGAGCTGCCATATCCAACTGTTTTCCCCAAATGCCCCTGAATCCCATTAAACCCAAGTGCCAAACTTGCTCAACTGCTGACCCACTCGGTTCGTTGGACCGACTACACGCATGTCTGAACTTCAAAAAACTAACTCTTATTATTATAGGTTTACAGGACACAATTAGTTCAAGTCTGTTACTTAACAATTCATTCTTACAGTGACAGAAGAGCCCATTCATCTGTAAAAAGACACAAATGTGCCTGGCAATATCTAAAATCCCACAAAAGAGATTTTTCTAATTGCTCTGGACTTCATTTCCCCCCTCTTTCATTTCAGACTGGTTTGTTACCTCTAGCCATTACGATTACAACATTAAAGTCCTTGTACTACAAAAAACCCTCCGTTACTGAACATAATATGGGTATTGGGTCCAGTTGTTCTTATTAGGTCTGGTTCAATGCCCGCTCTGTTGGGCTTAGGCTGACTCTCATATAACCCCTACTGTTCAGCTAGAAAATTTTCAAACAAATCAGCCATTCTTTTATAATTTATTTGTATCTTGCAGTGATATATTTTAGCAAAGAGGACATTTGTTGAAAATATGCTCAGCTTTTGGGGATTTAAATCTCCATACCTCTTTCTTAGCACAGAACAGGCAATGACTTATAATTAAGTATTTACAGAAAACCTAGATCTCAAAATCTGTGAATTCTGACAGAGTATTCTCTCTCCCTCCCCATTTATTTTCATTAGATTCTTTTGCTTAGAAGAAAAATCAGCTTTGCTGCATGGATATTTTTGGCCTTCACACCTTCCCATGATGTTCATGAATTAAAGAAAGTAAGCAGTACAGGCTAATACTTCCTTTTGCATGCTACACTCCATAAGTGGTTCCAGAGACTGAGGCACAGGTGGAAATGAGAGATTATATACCCCAGTAGCAACAAGGCACTACATCTAGACTGGTCAGAAAGGACAAACACGGTGAAATCAAACCTAAACTAGTATCTGATTTTGTCCTGGTGAGCGCCACCCATCACTCTTGCTCAGTTGACACACCCATTTTAGCCCACGTTTTGGCCTAACATGAACTTTGCTGTCATGCCAAAAACAGATTCAAAATATAGGGAACTACAGATGGGAAAACTGCTCTTCTACTACTTTGATGGAGGGGAAAAGAAGATAAAAAGAGCAACGCAGGATGTGTAAGTTCTTCTCTACACAGAATCCCCGTAAAATCTGCTGAAAAGTCTTTTAGGGGCCTTTGAAACAAAGAAGCTCAAGCTCTTGCTACAGGGTAACTTGTTCATCTAACTCTGCTTCCCCCTGCCTAGTTATGCCTTCCAGATGAACTGAACTCTGATACTGCTACAAAAGAAAACGGGTAATGTCCTCGTGCTTTGATGCCTTATATAGCTCATGGGTTTGGCCTCTATATTGTTCTGTATTTTGTACCTGTAACTGGGCTAGAGAGAGAAAGTAGCACATTTCACCTCTGTCAGGAGGCTATACACATCTCTACTTAGAAGTTCTACCTAACAAAAGCTTTTGATTTATCCCAGGATCTTGGAATTGTTGGTTTTAGGCTGCAACATTAAATTCTGAGCATTTCCATCTGATACTTTGTAAAGTTTAAGTAACATGCTGTGCCGCTTTTGTTGGAATAACTGTTTTCAATGTCACATTACAAAAACAGCTCAAAAATAATAATGAGGTCAGAGAAACAAGGAGTGCTGAAGGAAAGGAAAAAAAAAGAGCAAGAAACCAAATGCAAGGAAAATCTACCTTGCCAAGAACACCCCAGAAAGCACTGACTTTGCGTATTTATAGCTTTCATAATGTACAGAATGCATATAAAAATAAATACTACCATAAGAGAAAGAGCAACAGTAAAGGGATCAAATCATTAGCTCACCTAGCAACGAATCATTAACCTACCTTTTATGCTGATGTTTTATGGCTGGTTTCAAACATCCCCATTTCCTCTATGCAGCACAATCCATCAGTTTGAGAGTTTCCAGCACTGCAAACCAGCAGCATGTACACTGCATCATTAACCACTACAGCCAATCTCAGGTCTGAGCACTCGAGCTAGACTACACCACATCTGAGCCTTTCTTTTTTCAGGAGCACGTTGTGTTATTCTGCTCTTTCTGTTTCTCGCCTGCTTGTTTTTAAGGAACAGTCTGCTCTTTCTCCCCCCTCTCCTGTATCTTGTCTGCCAGGAGACTTGTTGGAAGCAAAATGGGTGTCTCTTGATCTCAGTTCCAGCCTCCCTGTGAAACAGGCAGGTCCCAGTCTGAATCAAAGATTTGGCTTTAGGGAACACTGCCAGCTACATATGTAAGCTGGCAGAAAGAAAAACAGTTAACTGAGGGAATGATTAAGAAGGACAGGAAAATATGTAGAAGAATACGGACTGAGGGTCACCATTACTGTCTTCTGGCATTGGAAAGCCAACTGTTCTTACTCCTTCCTTAAATTTTGGCAATGAGGTATAACTGAGTAATTGCATCTGTTCTAGAGTAAAAAAAATATATATATTTGGATAAAGACCTCAAAACTCATTTCATTTTTTTATTCTCCTGATCAGGACATCAAATACCACAAATATCTGACAATGAAT